AATTAGATCATCTACAAATTGGGAATCCAATAAAGTATTTTTGATGTATAAAATGTTTCCCATGTACATTAACTGAAAACAGGATGACTGGAAATGTCAAGATAATAGGATATTATGTTCAAGAATACCGGTATACCTGTAACTTGAAAGGCCTGCTTGGTACCGCCTCGTTTTGACTAATATGAAAAAAAACCTGCCATTGAAACGGTGACAGACAGAAACAGATAGCAAAAGTTCATGATTTACTCCTTAGTGCACTTCGTCCTCTCACGCTGGGCCTGAATACAGTGTGCACATGAGATTGGACAAATCAATCGATGGCTAGTGCTCACCCTATTTTCTGCCTGCAATCCTTGACTCTTTGCAGTGGCCCTTTGGGCTGCACTGGCACAAGTAGCATCCACGTAGAGACATGAAAATTCATTCGTTTACCAAGAGATCAACTTGTCATGAGTAAATCTGCCTTGGGCTGAAGCACCCCTCGTCTATTTAGAAGAGCTATGTTGATTGGTACTCATTTGGTCACTCCGCCCACAAGCATGCATTAACCGGGCAGTCGTTAGTGAACCAGCGCAGTGCAGTTCCCGCCAAAGGAGCCTTTGTTGCTAGGAAATTTGCGCTCTCTCTTGGTCCTGCTCGGGCCCAGAAGAAAATTTGTTACATAGTACGTGTAGGCCTACGTGTGGCCATTCAGCCAATAAGAATTTTGTTATGCACCTACGGGCACCCTGATTGGGTACTGGGGCAGCGCATGTTTGATTTCCAGGCCATGAAGAACACGGATCAGACATAAGTGCTTCTGGTTTTCCAATGTTTTTATTTCCAGTCATACCCCTAATTTGCCACTAAATTGCACTCTAATTTTAAAAGCAGAGTTAATGTGACAACCATATTAACTTCACCTGGATATTCATTTTGTCAATGATCTGACTTGCTTTCAACATTTTCAATTTCATCACAATATCGACAATTTTGATTTATTAATATGATTAAAAATTTGGTATTGGTGGTATTGAATTTAAATTGATATCGAATAATCGGGACATATTGATACATTGAAAGATCCTACACCACATTATCAATTGTGTTACATTCATACATTTTGGACATAAACTTACAGCTGGAAATGCTGTGGGTAGATACTGCTTGATGTATGAAGCATGCGCTCCCGCCGGAGTGGCCATTTCTTCAGGGTATCTAAAGACTTGACTTGCAATAATGAAATAGCACATATCTGTCTTGTTAATGAATTCTGCCATGAGAACTCTGTGGAGTCAAGGGCTGGATAAGCTTAGCTGTGAGTGGTGAAAAACTGGACAAGATTGCTAAATTCCCCTGAGAGGGATCGTCAACAGTTGACACCATCTGCCGCACTACGTACATATACCTGGGATTATATCCAAGTCTTAATTTGGGCTTTTGCTTTAGCTGGGGCATAATAACACCATAATTGAGTCTGCAACATAAAATAAAATGAAAAGCGCATTCTTTTCTTAACAACCAAATAAAAAAAAAGCCCGAGTAGAAAAACTAATAAGGAAACCCTCTCTGCCCCGTCTCTAGTCGGATCTTTACACAATAATACCAGGGTGATATTTAGGCACTCTGTCAGCAAGCCTGTTCATTAAGGAACACATTTTGTACTTTCCACATCGATCATCCTTTATAGTGCGTGAAATCAACTGTTTCTTGGTTTTTGCTGTAAATCTTCCTTTAAATGGAATTAATTTTAATGTGGTTCAAAATTCCATTAACAAATGTTAATGTTATGGATTTGTAATGCTCTGTGAAATTATTATACTTATGAAGTATCATGTTACTCTTTTTCTCATTTCCCCATCTATTAACCTTAATTTCATTAATTAGTTTCAGTGAATTATTTTATTAATGCTGGTACTTGCCTCCTTTTTTTCTTTTAGTTCCCCTTTCGGTACCGCTTTATTTGAGAGTTCAAAATAAATGTCTATTGCACTGAATTCGAATTCGTTTTTCTGTAAAATAAATGAATTGACAAATTGATCAGTTTGACCCGATCCATGGATCATTTTTGTCAAACCTTGAGCCCGAGCAACCCCTAAAAAACTAAGCAATTCTGCCGGCTTACTTGATAAATTAATTGCTTTCCATCCAATAATCTAGGATGTTGGGAACAGAGTGTACTAAAACATTGATTTAATCGAATCCATGCAATACATGAATATTTACATGATTGTTTAGCTGAAAATTAAAGCACTTGTGCTGAAAAGGTGATGGCATTATATAGTCGGATGCCCAGCTTTAATTCAATTGTATTAGGCCTACAATTGGGGGATCCTGTACAAGTTTGAAACCAGATATGGTGCAGGTGAAACATGCATTTTGTAGAACACGAGTGAGGCTAATCTCCGGAACCTAGTTTTCTTCCTTGGGCTTGAAAGCTGTCTCAAGGCTAAGAGACAGGTTTGTCTGGATGAAAATACAGAGCCAATGCAATTTATTGCCTAATAGAACCGCTGAAGTAAGTTGAACTCGGGAACGCTGAATCTCGGGTCTCGTCCTAGTCTAAACGTAATTCTAGTTCACTGTGAAATCAAGGCAGCTTATTGGTAATTTGAACCGAGGCATAATCCCAATGTGCAATGTACTAAATCATGCAGTAGCCACACAAGTGCATAAAGCCCTGTACTCAAAAGAAAATTTACGCTCACCCTATTCACTGCTGGTATCGCTCGCAGGCCTACACAATGCACTCGTTTAAGCAGTCGTGCGCTTAATCCGGCCCCGGTGTGACATCGACATTGCTCAACGAAGGGATTTCCCAGGGCATGACGTCATTTTGACTGGGAAAATAGGGCATGCAGAGTACGAGCGCTAGATTGGTGGGACCGTCAATTGGACTAGACTCCTAACCAGCCAATGTCGCAAAAGCCTTGAACGTCTTCTTACAGACCAGCTTTAACAAAACCTAAGAAAGAAAACTTTTTTCCTCAAGGCTAAAAGAAAATATTTTCGTAGATCCAACACTGTTCTCTAATAAATCATGTTGATTTGATTATTTTGCAATAGTTTTGTCTGGCTTTGGAACAATCCTATGTGGTCCCTGTACATATTAAATGTGAACATGGAGCTATAAAAAGGATGGGAACAAGCATGTATTAACGGTAATGAGTGTGTACATTGTACATGTGAATAATGGCATATAGCATGCTGTATGTACATAAGGTGGTTTGCTATTAGGTTTCTTTATGATTGACCTCGATCGACTCTCTCTTCTAGTATCCCGAAGTTACTAAAGGGGTTTAAGCTAATCATGGTATACCGCACCGTCACGAGGTTTTCTATATGTACCTGGTAGCAACTGGATGCGGAATGTCACATTTAATCTGATGGCCAACAATTATAGCCATAGACCTTCCCACAAGCAACGACTTGGGGACACGCCCTTTTTTGTTTTGCTTGATTAAAGAGCTAAACGAATCGACCCTCATAGAAACCTCTCTGAGCCGCCGGGCGGTCACGCATAGTTCCTCTTCTGTCTCCCTGGGCATTCTTCCCGGGAGACAATCATGGGCCCTCTAGTGCGCCGTCTGCATGTTCCCACGCAGGTTCTCTGCAAAGTGTAGCCAGCCCAGGATCACCTTCTGGGGCCTAGAGCTGCACCGAAATATGGTGTTATTTTCTTAGCAATGGAGGCTCCTTTGGTCGGAACCAAACTTCGCTGGTTCACTCCGAACGTAGGGCTCACTGGTGTAGCGAGTAATGAAACCAGCAGAATCCTGCCGGTTTTAAGTAAACGGAGAAACGATGCCCGCTCATTGTACAAATAAAGCAGGAGCTGATAGACTGTTTTGCTTTTTCGTCTTCGTTACCCGAAATAACTTCACCATAAATTGTTCTTTATCTAAAATTAAACACAATAAACACTGGTTTGATCCCTGTTCACACCACTTCCCATCGTGTATTAAAACTCTTCGCTAATAAATTCAAAGTTATGCACGAATGCGCACAAATGGCGGCAACGTCTATTGGAAATGTACAGGGGTGCGGTTTTGATAATCTTCTTTCAGGTTTCCTGGCTTTATTCAGATTTTTTCTACAGAAAATCCCATTAAATCGTTTTGTTATTAGTTTCTAATCTAAGTGGAATTTTCCCCGCATAATCTCGTGCGCACAGGAAAAATCACGATTGTGAAGTCTTTTTCCAAGGCACTAAAAATCCCGCCTAGGTTAGAAACTAATAGCAAAACGATTTAATGGGATTTTCTGAAGAAAAAACTGAACAAAGCCATAAACCTGAGAATGATCAAAATCGTACCCCTGTACATTTCTAGAGATCCTTGCCACCAAGGCCATTTGTGCGTGAATTTATTAATGAGAGGTCTATTGGGGTGTGATCCCTAGCTAGATGGTGTTTCAGGTTACGTGGCTTCTGACTAGCGCCCCCGAACAAAGATATTGACAAATGGGAAGAGCCACCAACGTAGGGCTTGATAGCTCTTGCAGTTGGTGGTAGGTGGAAGAGCACCGATACGGTGTCCCGGAGGTCGTAGGTTCAAATCCCGTTCAATTTCTTTGTTTATCTTTACACTAATCACTGGTTTGAAATAGTCTACCGTAAAATGATTTATCAATGATAACCATCGAAAAATAAATTATACCACACTGTGATCACTGTGTGTCACTCGCCTGCCCGCTGAAACGAAATTTATGTCAAGGCATTGCTGTTGGCCTGACAAATTATTCAGCATCCAAATTGAAGGGACTAATCGTGCTCATTAAGCAGTTAGCTACAGGTCCCTAATACATGTAACCATTCATGGGACCATTCTATCCCGACCAACGCGACTCTTTTCAACCGATGAGGGGGTGCTGCTGCTCGAGGCGGTTAACTTCCCTGCCTAGCATCATTAGGTGATTCACCGTATAAGCCGAGGGGTGCACCTGTGCGCAAATGTGGCGTACGGGAGGAACTCATCCGGGTCCCATTGTCATCTCCTGGGATCAATTAACACATACATGTACACCATCACGGCTTATTATAACTTTTTGATCGCAGGGTGATGAAGGGCAGATCCAGAGCCACATTGTCGAAAGGGGTTCACATTTATTAGGAGAGGGTTAAAAATAATGTGGAATTTCTTTATGTAACGCTTTATATAGCCTTTCTGAGGGGTGGAAGTGGGCACGCCCATTGAAGGCTTTTTACACGCTTTTGGATGAAAGGGAAACCTGAATTGCCCAGCCATGAAAATTTGAAAGGGGGGGGGGTGGGGGTTGACACCATAATGATTCTATAGAGGTCGGGGTTCATGATATTGGTGTACATCTATAATATGTATTCAGAACGGCATATTTATGGCTTTCTAAATTTCCCCCATTTTTGAATGATATTGAACTCATTTTAGCAGATGGATGTCTGAAAAATTCTTCACAATCCGCTTTAATTTTTTGATAACCACAAATAGCTCATCCCGGTGGGGAATATACAGGGTGTCCACATAAAAATGTACTGAGATTGAAATTGCATAAAAATATCAGATGTGCATTGACAGGAATGGTGGCCATGTGGAGGGCACAGCACATTGAACTTGTGAGATAAGTAGCGAAAACAAAGCAGATCATATTGATTTAGATACGTTCCTTGTTTTGAAGAATGTGTTCTTAAAGCAAAGGCATTAATTTTGATATTCTGCACACTTGCACGGTGGAGCATTGTTAATCAAATATGCAAACTTGTCACACTGCCGATTTTAGTACCCTTATAACATCAGTCTATTGTGCAGGCCTGTTGCCTGACCAGAGACTCAGGCTGGGGTGGGTTCGTCAAACCCAAAAGTGGCACTTTTGAACTTTGCACTTCGAGAAAATCGGGCCAAAATAAAATGTCATCGGAACTTTTGTAGCGGGTATTGTATATGAAATTGACATATATGAATCAGAATAGTTGGAGTTTGATTAAATCTCACCTTTTGTGAGATTGGAGGTAAAATATTGCTCCATACACAAACGTCAGAAGCGAAAATTCGAAGTGCCCAACGTTAAGGTCCACGCCACTCTCGGGTACGTGAAGCAGCGCGCGAACGAGTTTTGTCGTTAAACCTAAACTTTCTCAAGCCGTCAAAATTACCAATCTTGGTGGGCTGGATTAGTGTCCTTGCTGGATGGCCCATGTAGCAGTTCGTTTTTTAAACAGTTATCAAAAGACCAATGAAGTAATAAACAATATGGCTTACACAACCGTAAAAGACAGAAAAACGAACAGACGCAAAACACGATTTATGAGGTGTGACGGTACTTAACGTGTATTATTTGGTTTTCTTCATTCCAACACGTGAGCAGAGGCAAAAGGTAAACGGCAACATGACAAACATGACTGCCTTAAGCTCAGTTCGCCCGCTTGCACGCGTGGTTGGCTTATTCACAAAATTACCGGGTATTTAGTATCAAAATAAACATTTATTAAATAATAATAATAATTTTAAAAAACCTAAAAACACCAACGAGCAGAACTCAGAAGCGAGGGGGGGGGGGTTCGAACGAACCCCCAGCCTCCGGGCTTCTCTTTCCCATGTATAAAGTAGTTTTGCCAATTTTTTTTATTTCGGTATACTTTTTATGTGGACACCCTGTATATCCTCGTCCCCAGGGGTTTCCTATACTCTGTTTCGTCTCGAAATCTACAGTCTCCAAACGAACGAACAATTCTTATATTTCTCAAAAGTTGTGAATAAATGAAAGGCGATTTTTCAACGTTTTGTTGCAAATATCGGAAGACGTTGATTTAGAACAAGACATACGTACGCGTGTTGGGCGCGATCAGTCGATCTTACTACACGGGATGATTTGTCGATGGTCACTCGTCACCGCTTTCACGATCACAAATTAGACTTGCTGTCCTAGTCCGTCCATTCAACAGTGATTAGCTAGCTCGCACAGTGTCAGCCTTGCTAAACAAGGATAGAAATGTGTTTTTCATAATGGGAGCTAGCCAAGGCAGTGGGACATCCGCCGATTCTTCCTTGTCAGGGCAACCCAATCCAAATGATGAGATCCCCTATACATCCTATTCTGTGGACAGGCAAGGAATGAGAGGTATATGAATGTGTTTGAAAAAATAATGTTGATTCTGCTGTGACCACGATGACCTCGACAGGTTAGGCCAGACATGGAGGTGGGCCAGATGACATGACGTATTTTTTTGGATTTGATGAGTTCAGCACGCCATTTAACAAGTGCCCTTAGCCTCACATATTTTTTTCCACTTTTAGAGGAATTATAACAATTGAGGCCTTGTACTTGTCGGTAAAGATGAGAGTTGCATGTGTATAGGCCTAGGCCTATACAGGTAGATATCACTTTGCCTTGCAGTGGTTCATGAGCCATCAGAAAGTGATGACATGTCCCCCAAAAGTCAAGTTTAGCAGTGGAAATATTGCATCATTTACTTGGAAAACACTTAGAACTTTTCAGACTAGGCTCATAGGGTTCGTGCACAGGCATGACAGGGTGTCAAGTGATGTCCGATGTATGGAACTCTTTTCCAATAAGCCAATTTCCCATACTGATGTGAAGTTCGTTCCTTGTTTGACATTCGACTGTGTCCTTCCTCCATAGTTCGACATTCAAGGTTCAACGAGTAACTGTTTGATATTCGAATGTTGAATAAGTAACCGTTTGGCATTCAGGATGCACATCCCTTAAAGTGATGGAGTGCAAAAGGGACCAAAAAACACATTCCACCCCCATGCACATCCATTCGCATGTACCCAATTCACATTGTACGTGCCATTTGACAATACACAAACAACTCTATCCCATAGAGGGAACCCTAGGCAGGGCATGGGGTTCTTCAGGGTCAAACAAACCCTGACATGTAGACGACGGTTTTTTATGGCACTTTAATTATTAGAGGAAAAAAACAGTTGGCTTTATATACTTATTACTGTTTCAGTCAATCGAAATGATATACATGTACATCAATCCCACGCCCCGGCTCTAAACTTCGCTTCTTTACACTTAAGTGACCCAATTGCCTCCATTTCAACAGGGCAAAGGCAGATTTCCACTGTCAAAACAGCTTTGACAAAATTAACTTACAAGTCTTGTTGGTGGAGTTCTTCACTTGCTTCTTCACCAGAGTGGAAAAGTGAATGCCTCACACCACACTTTTCTCCTATCAAAATCAAATACCCAAACCCCAAACCCCGCCTGGAGACTACATGCTGCCCATTCTGTTTCCCGTTCCGTCGCCATCTTGATTTTAGTGCCCCTGTGCGAGTATTAAAAAGTGAACAAAGCTACAGGGGAACGATTGTTTACAATAATAACAATCGCGAGCATTCATTCTCCAAATGTTAATACGCAATGTCATTATCATAAACGCAAAAAAGGCTTATTGACAAATCTTGCTTTATATTACGTTGTCTTTCCTCAGAGTGCTCTTTGTTTCTTGACTTTTTTTAAATTGTAGCTGTACAGTCTTTTGAGCCTAATATCCAGATGATTGCCCCTAACAATCCAATAATATCTGTAAAAATCCAACATCTGGTTTTGTGGGATTTTGATAGAATAGGGATGAACAGCAAGTTGCAGTGTGGAATTTGTTTCAGTTCAGATTTGGATAATTAAAATTCCTGGCAAATATCGCTCAAGGCTGTATGTTACAAAATCTCTATTGTTAGAGTTCGGTATTGTTTCCCGCTTTAGACTATGCACAGATCAGCGGTAAAACCAACTCCCCGGCTAAATCATCCCCAAAGTTGAAAGGCCAGAATGCTACAGGCAGTCCGGCCCATAACATCATTGTTGTTGCCGAGGCGACCGCACCGAGTGAAGATGCTCGCCTGGCATCGGAGCTACAAAAGATGCGCGACATCCCAACGTTTACACCCCTGATTCGCAGCACACCCTCTCTGTCCAGCCTCGAGGAGACCGGCGCCATGGACAAACTGGATCACAGGTTAGAAGAAGAAATGGGGGGGGGGACATTTATCAGGATGGGGCAGGATTTTTAGGTATATCAGGCAGTGTTCTCCACAAGGGGTTTTTGGAGGGTAGGTCACTAGAGTTTTTAGCCGACTTGCTAAAATTTTGGCACTCTTACAGTGCCGCTAAGCACAACATTCTATGCTTTGCATATTTCCTGAAGACTGTAAGCATTAAGCACTGCAAAAGGCAAGATAACTCGGAGGAAATAATTGCTTAACGTAGCGACAAAACAGTGGAAATCTTCATGCACATGCAACCTTAAGCACCACCACATCAAGCACAGCCATGAAATAGTGCTTACGGTTAGACCAATTTGCTGTAGTTAGTACGACTTTCCTGCTAGCTGTTAAGCAGCTTTGCGAAATTGGGCCCTAGCACTTACATTTTCTTCACCTTCATACTTGTTGTTCTAACCATCCATCTCTTCTTTCCGCAAAGAGTGGACAACAAATAGAAGATAAAATGTTACACCTTATTTATTTCCTTTGTTGCAGGCAACTTCTCCATTTGTGTCTGAGATACCAGCAACATCTAAAGCAGTGTAGCGAAGCTGTGTCCTTTGACCAGAATGTCTTGGTCAATAGAATCAAAGAGGCAAGTCTAGAACTTTCTTCTTTAAGCTCTCAACGACGGGAATTTCTTCCCGAAAGCCGACTCAGAGAATTCCAGCC